AGACAGACAGACAGACAGACAGACAGACAGACAGACAGACAGACAGACAGACAGAGACAGAGACAGAGACTGAACTAGAGAGATAATATCACCAGGAGCAAGGACACGACACGACATGATCACACCCCAGGACTCCACGCTCTGAGGGCCCGGTTATCAGCAATACCACACAGACACACACACACATACACAACACCCACCCACACAAACACACACACATACACAAACAAACACACACACACACACACACACACACTCACACACACATACACACACACTCACACACACACACACACACACACACACACACACAACGTTGTGACATGACACATTCACCACTCGCGTACTTCTTGAACTCATGAAAGGTTTGCATGACAGGAACTGTGACAAAAAGAGACCCGAAGAGAGCACTAGTCATCCATCAGTGATTTTTTACACGGTTGTTCGGCAGCAGATTATATATTATAAAGAAAACATTCATGATAATAATAACGATAGTAATTCTAGAGAAATCGTAAAATATGTAATGAGGTCAATGGACGATGGGATCCGTCCTGAGACAGACATACGATGATGGCAGTTGCAGTGATTGAAAACATTCAACATTGATCCAGTGATCTCGATTCCAAGTATATCGTAAATCCATGTGTGTGGGAATGGGGGCGGGGCTACGTATTCACAGCTACAAGGTTATTGGAGGAAGGGGCTGAGGGAGAACTGCTATTGGTTGGAGTCCCCGCAAGAGATCGTTGTTCCAAGTTTTGATTGGCTGTCGCGGCGTTGGAGGTGGAGCTGAGGTTGGAGGCTGGTAAGGTGGTCACGATGGGCTCTATGACCGCGCCGTCCGAACTCGATGTGGTGAAGCCTGCAGGGGAAGGGAGACGGAACAGCTGAAGGTCAAACTCGTGGAGGGCGGGAAGTGGGGGATTGAAAAAGGAGGGGGAAGGGGGTGGGGGGGGAGGAGGAGGAAAACATCTCCTCTTTGCTAGGGACAATTAAACCATTTTGAAGGGGACGGATGGGGTGTCATTCTCTTATAACTAAGACAGAACTTAACTATGCACCAAGTCATTGTCATGAAATACTGTTTTTTAATATAAAAAAATCTTGACAGTAAGCAAAATGAACAGAAAATAATTACCTGTCTCGCACAGCTTTAACCCCCACCCCACCCCCCAAAACTAGGAGAAAAAAAACCCCTCAAATTTATTAATAAATTATTCATCATCGATGTTTCAGCATTGAGCAGAAGTCCCATGACGTGCCACACAACACGCATGGACACACCACATTTACAGCACCCGGTAAGAAGATTCTATCCTGGAGGAAAGGCTCAAAATTAAAATTAAAATTAAAACCAAGGGTCAAACCAGATAGTAATAAATCAAATATGAAATAATGGTAGTCGATAACAAACTGGGGGGTCAAGGACCTCTACTGTAATGAGGTTATTATGGTGATGGATAGATCAGCATGATTTGTCCAATTATGATTAGTAGGGCAATGATACTTCGTTAAAAAAAAATACACATTATATACATAATAAATAATGCTATTGACATATTCTTTCCTTTACATATAAATTATACAGCATAATGTACCTATTAAGAATTATACCTCATGTTTTTTTTTAATTTCTTACTATAGAGTATTTGCAAAACAACAACAACAACAATTAATTATTACTATTATTATAGAAATAAACATAAGAATAAGGATAATGATCATAATAATGATACCTAAGAACTAAACATAAAAAATAATACTTAACTTTGGCATTTCGAATTTTAAGAATGTATTGTTTGGTAAAAGGTCAGTTTAGTTTATTTTATATAAAGAAAAGGTTGTTAAAATGTATTAATCTTAAAGGGTATCGCAAAAGCTCTGACTAGCTTAGCACACGAGACAATGTTTAAATTACCACAATGCCCTACGAGATTAAAGATTAATTCTTTTTGCTTCTACTTCTATCAGAAATAACAGTAATTGCATTGGAATTTCCTTTCGATCTGTTCACCAACTAGGCAAGATCACAGATTGGTCAGATACACACACGAACAAAGTACACGCGAACAAAGCACATAGGAACAAAGCAAGCACACACACACACACACACACACACACACACACACACACACACACACACACACACACACACACACACACACACACACACACACACACACACACACACACACACACTTACAGCAATTCAGGCAAATATGCAGATGAAACAATGATTTCACATGCCCGCCATATATTATATAAAAGGGGGAAATTAGTTTAGTCTTGTCATTTGGAATACTCCCATGTTGCTGTTTTATAGTAGGGTTTTGTTTTGTTTTTTTACTTTTGTTGGTTCTTTTTTTTCAAATTCGTAGCGCATATTTATGGGCAGCTTAGTGAGATGTATTCTGAGGACAATTATAAGGTGTAAATGGTACCTGGCACGTGTTTTCCACATTATTTTAGAAGTCAAAGGAGCATCAAGTACCACTTACATTAACCCATTGTGTTATGTTGATATCAGACTACTGTCTCACATACCATCGACAGTAATGACGCCACAGCTCAGGGTTGTCTGGAAGCTGTTGACTTTTGCTGAGGTTTTTTTTTTAAGTATGTAAAAAAAAACTAAGCTATCTTTTCTACCGAAACTTTTATTTTTTTCTTTTAAACTGAAGAATTTCCAAACAAAACACAAGCATACAAAAGGTAAAGACAAAGCCAAAACAACAACAACAAAAAGAACGAATACACGAAAACAAAACCCGAAAAACGAAATGTCCAACAGATTGCAGAGAGGTTAGTTTTAGATTTAGTTTTAGTAGAGGTTTTACGGCGCTCGCAACCGCATAAGGTCATAATATGAGCGCACGAAGATTAGGGGTGTTACAAGAGGGTAACAAACATTTAAAAAAGAAGAAGGGGAGACAAGAACGATAGATGTTTGATAGGAAAGAAGAAGCAAACCACACCAGAGCACCCGCCAACTAACCACTCAGAGAGGCTAATATGGTAGACCTGTCAGAGGCAGTTTCGTATCATCGGACACAGTGGTAGCTACAGCAGCTACGACAACAGCAACAGTAGAAACAATTTTTTAAAAACCCCAATAACTATAACTATGATAACAACAAGATTAACAAAAAAACCAACCCAACCAAAACAACAACAACAACAATAACAACAACAGCAGCAGCAGCAGTAACAATAACAGCGACGACAACAACAACAACAACAGCAACAGCAACAGCAACAACAACAACAACAACAAAAACAACAAGAGCACTAACAACAACGCCACCCCAAATATGTTGGCGTGAACAAAAGAAGCACCCAGAGTATGTCTCGTGATTTTAGCTACCCCTACGCCCACACACCCGCAAGTTTCAAGTCATTATCTATCACAGCTTTTAGTGTAAGTATTCGAACTTAGTATACCAACTGGTCGCTTTTAAGGACAAGCGGGGTAACCCACATTTCGGGGGTTTCCAGAAATCTTGACCTACACCAAAAGTGGGCACTGCCCTACCTATAGGAGAAGTTTGGTTTCATTAGTGTCTATGTGCTTGGTTATAGAGAAAACTCTCCTTGTCTTTTAAAGAAACTGAACAATGGTCCAAAAACGTAACCTTCGATTTGATCAGAACAGCATTTGTTGGGGGTTGGCTCCTTGTGTTTAAAAGCGACCAAATATAGCCGCGAATCGCTCAGGGGTTCACGCAGAGAGGCACAGTAGCCTCAAGAGGTCAGGGTTCAATGTCAAAGGACACAACATTGGCTGTGGTCGAAACGTATCAATATAATCATTAAGATCCACGGCTTTCGAACGCAGACTTTTCATGTAACTTTCCCAAAACCTGCATTTTGTCCAAACAATATCTTATTCAAACATTTTCTAATCCAGATAGTATCTTCTTCATACAAAATTTCTCCCAGATATGATTTTATCTAAACATAAGTTTATTTAACTTGCCCCAACCCCATAGTAGTAAAACTGAGAAACTAATAGACGCAATATCCCCCCTCCCCCCCCCCCCCCCAAAAAACAACTATCTCTCTCTAACAACAACTCTCTCTCTCCCTTACCCCCCCCCCCATTAATTTTAGCACTAGAAAAAAAGCAGGATAGACAGACAGAAACAGTAGAGGTTGAGGAAATAAGCAACGTCAAGCATTGATGGCGCCCTACAACCACCCGCACCCAATTTCCTACCTTAGAAAATTACATAGTTCTGACATTTTAGGTCGTTTTTGGGTTACTCATACTATGAGGTCAGAAAACAAAATGTTCTATCTGATCTGTAAAAGACGTAAGATTATTCGGAGTCGTTTCAAGAGCTTGACAAGCTACGAAACTCAAAATGTTTGACGTCAAATTTCTCAAAACTAGGTACGGGGCAGATACAATGTATACAATTTGTAACTCAAAGGTATCAAATGACTAAGATAATATGGATGTGTAAGACAGAAGAAAATTACAAGCCACAAAACGATTTGGTTCAGAATTTATCCCCCCCCTCCCCCATTCTTCCTACGTTTCAAATAAGGGAGATATCTGCAGTTTTGATTTTGAGTTTCAAACTAATTTCGAGGAGGCACGTGCAATATGTCTGTATTGATATTACTGTGTTGACAGAAGTGCATTTCTGGAATTAAATACCGTACATTTTCTGAATTAAGAAATTAACACCTAAATAAGATAATAATCACAAGTTATCTTGCGCAGACCGCGTCAGCATTGTGGTCAAGAACTTAGAATAACAAGCGGATCATATTGACTTTCCAGATCTTACACCAAAACAAACAGCAACAACCCCCCCCCAAAAAAACAACAACACATAAAACAAAACAAAAACAAAACAAAACCCAACCCCAACAACAACCGAGGTCTTCATACGATGACGACTTATTAACGGCAATCCCAACAGACTTTCACTTATCCGGATATCATCCATAATCACTACCGACTTATCCGGATATAAACTACAATCACCGCAGACACCGACGTATCCCCGATATAATCGTAATCACTGACAGAGGAAGCTGTTGGATTAACAACAACAACAACAACAACAACAACAACAACAACAACAACAACAACAACAACAAAAACACCACCACCAACAAAAACAACACCACCACCACCACCAACAACAACAACAACAACACAACAACAACAAACTTCAGCAAAAACAACAAGAATATCTACAAAAAAGTAATCACTAAAACCATAACGAAGTACGACAACAGAAACAACAACAACAACAACAGCAACAACAGAAACAACAACAACAACAACAACAACAGAAACAACAACAGAAACAACAACAACAACAACAACAACAACAACAACAGCAAACATTAACAGCAACAACAACAACAAATAAAAGCTACAGCATCATCTAAACGTTCTACGAGCGACGGCACAAATCAAAGTGAATCAGTACAAAGCTACCGAGTGTAACAATTAGTCATAATAATATTCTTTCCATTCTTTATCTTTTTGTACTACAGTGGTTTTTACCGCATCAATAGGGGACTCTAGTGGCATAAAGGTTAAGCTGTTCGCCTTTTATTCAATGGTCCCCGGGTTCGAATCCGGGTTTGCGACGGAAAACTGTTTTCTCTCAAATTTTCTCCATTCACATCCTTTCCTGCTCTCTAAAATGTTCTGTCTTTTGCTTTCGTCTCCACTTTCTGCCCCCACCCCCTCACTTCCTATGCCCCATCCTCTGGGCTCCTGACTCTTTCTGCAGCTTTTCTACTGCTTGTCCATGGCTCCTTATTACTGTAATCTTTCAGCTACACCCCTGATCTTATAGTAGGTACGATCTACACCTAGCTTTCTCGGACAAGGGC